AGCCCGGTAGGGGCCAAGTTCAGAGCTCGGCCCACTAGCGCAACCAGGAGGCCTCAAAAAAAGGTCCGAAGCCAGAGAGGGTCGCCGCGAGGAAACCGACTCTTCAAAAAAGTGAGACGGCCGCCGGTCAAGCATCAGACCGAAGCCGGGTAAGAACCATGTTGTGAAAAAGGCCACAACCAAGCCCCGAAACCCCCCCCTATGATACATGAAGCCGAGCTACAATGAAACCATCGGCAGAAGCCGTCCTGCCAGCAAACCTGCAAAAAACCATCCGAACCAGCTTGGGTGGGTATCCCCGCAACAACAATTCCATTCTTACTGCTAGGAAGGCTTGAATCCTACTGAAACCATCAGAGGACCAGCGATGAATGCGGTACAGTGTACTGAGGATAGCCCCAATCTTTGACTGCTTAGAGACGACTTAAGCGAGCCATCCTTCCATAGACCGTCCGAGTTTTTTACCAGGGCTACAGTCCTTACAAAAGCACCTTCCCTTTGCAGTTCAACCCCAACAAACTTCCGTTCCCCCAATCCTTCATCCGTTCTTTCCAACCGCAAGTTCCTACCATAGCAGTCAGTGAACCATGAGAGAATCTCATGTGCCCAGGCATATCCCTGATTCCTCCTGACAGCAACGAAGACAGTCACATCATCCACAATGCGGAAACCGAAAAACAACCTCTTGTCCACTCCCAAGGAGGACAAGAAAATATTTTCAGCATAAGCACACAGGATACATGCCAGTGAACAACTAGTGGATTTACCCATAGGCACACCAATCACTTGCCTAAGAAAAATGGCGGCGGACCAAATGAAGGTGAACCTGAGATCAAAAGCCACCATATCACGAATCAACCATAAGCTCAGAAGCATGCACCCTTCCCTCTTCGAGCCATATGATCGGTAGGCGGCCTTACCCCGTTTGCCAATGGAAACACCCACACAATTCCTGTCATGGTACCAATGAAACAACCAATCTACCGCTCTAAGAATGTCGGCCTGTGGAAGAGAAACAAACATATCCTTCACATCTAAGGATGCTGAAAGAAGGTCAACAACATCCCCCATTCTCCTGAGTTCCCCTTCCATCCAATCCAAACCTATCCGAAGGTAATCTACTGCCTTCAGGTTGAAGTTAGAGGCGGTAGGTAGCCCAAAGAGCAAGCAGTTGAGCGCACGAGCCACGCGTGAGGACGCCAATTCGGTAGGCTCATAAAAGGTAGGCGAAATAGGCCTCCATCTAGTCAAATCCTTGTGCTTGGGCATCACAAAGGCTCTACCGAACATACCCTGCGGATTCCAAGTCCCCGCGTGCTGTAAACCAAGATCGGAGAAAACTGAACGCATACCCAACAGGACCTCCAATTCAGATCTGCCCTCGATGACGAACGATAGACTACAGTCGAAGGTCAGCTTATGAAAATGCGAGTACAAGGTATCTGCGGCATTCCGATTGATCGGCACACAGGCAAAAACCCTAAGTTTCGCAACCCATGAAGATACAAGTGGATCAGCGAAAAGAGGCGAAGGTGCCAAATTGCCCCAACACTCTTCCAAATCATTCCGATCCAACAAGAAAGCCGATCCCAGCAGCTCACAAATGCATGCGAGCTCCTTCCCTAACTCCACTACCCGCCCGTGGCATGACACGAACGGGATATTCCTCGAATTACGAAAGATATGAGGAACGTCAAGAACATGAAACCCATAACGCGGCCATCCCACATTCGACTCAAAACATGCGCAAGAGTTGTTAGATGATCTAGCAATCTTCCGATGATTCAAAATCAGATCACCTATAGTTCGATTCTTCTTCCAAACAATTCGGACCCTAGACATTAAGAAACCAATGATCACATCCGGGAAACGAGAGGTAGCAATACATTTGATTACCAGCTGGTGCACCTTAGTCAAGGAAATCCGATGGTCATACCTCAGCCGCACCACTTAACGCCTCCGAAGGTCAAACCCCAGTCTCCTCTTAATCTCCCGGGCTAAAATACCTTTCAATCTAGAACGAGTTTCTTTTCTCGAAAATTCCCTCGCAGCACGGAACCAGCGGACCAATATCGAAAAGGATCGCAAATGCAGCTCCCGGCGTCTCCAAGGCTGTTGCAGCAACAACCGTAACTCACCTTTACAAATCGCTCTGCCATTTGGGGTAAGCACAATAGGGCAGAGAACGAAGGAACCCCCCTTTTCAAACTCCTGCTTACCCTCCTTGAGACAACATCGACCTAGGTGACTCTTAACCGTAGAGGTGTTGAAGGCCCGCCGGAGAACCGACCACTTATCCACCCACTGCGACCCAGGCAAACATTCAATAACCACAGATCTAACCCCCTTTTTAACCAAGTCGCCGAGCAGGTTAAAAAGACTATCCTCCCACTCCCCATCCTCCATTCTAAAGCGGAGGACAGGACCATACCTAGAAACTGCAGGAATATTCCCCACCCTTTTCTTCCTAGACGGCCTTACCCAAGGTATTTTTCCTCTACGAGTTTTCTTAGTATCCAGGGCCGGGCTAAACCTCCTAATGCCCACAGTGTCCGCAGCGCTAACATAGCAGGTACCATTCATCAGCGGAATTGCCACGTATTTCCATACCCCCACAAAACGTAACCAATGGTATAGCTTAGGACAGACACCCAAACCCCCAGAGAAGGCCGTTCTACAATGTTCTCCCCATCTCACATAAAGCCCACGTACTGTACTACCCACGTACTATGACTTACACCACGGGGACGTTAAAACGTAAACCACAGGCCCTGAATCCCACGCATTCCAATCCACAGAACAAAGCATTCTTTCGAATTTGGACGCCCATCGAATCTCACCAGGGAGTACAAGACCGACAAAGCTCAGAGAAACACACTTGTCAATAGCAATCCGCAATCGAGGAGGGAATCCCTCTTTAAAAGCAACAATCCGCTGGCTCATGGAGGATAGAAGGTTATCCCATAGCCTCAGAGTAGAGTAACCACGCAGTCAGTCTGCAAGATCCACCTCTGGAGAACCTTGTGCCGATGTGGCTGGTGAAAATATGAACCCCTCGTACGCCAGTTTGGTCCTAGCCGCAACAATCCGATCAATAGAGGGACCCTTAGTACAATAACGAAGGCCTTCCTTGCTGCATATGCGCTTCAGCTCATCTTGACGCATTGCAGACAGTTTTTTCTTCTGTTCAAGAACGAAATCCAAAAGCCCTTCGGGTCCACAACCCGCAGGGATCTTGGTCCTAGTCTCATCCTCCGGGCGCCGCGAACAACCAGCCCGCCCTGGAGTACTATTAACATCACCGGCAGGAGCGGAAAAAAGCGGTTGTCTAAAGCCAGGTCTCACCGGCTCCTTCCCCTTCCTCCTCTTCTCACGCAGCGCAGATAGACGGTGAATCTCCTCATCCAGGTCATCGACCTCCATATCAACTTCGTCTCTGTCAACATACTCCTTTCTTTGTCTCGGTGGGGGAGACTGAGCCCTACGTTGCTCCACCCATCTTACCTCCTCCCTCCTAACCTCCTCTTTTTGCCCAAGATATTGCCTACCAACGGCCGCCATGACATCAGCCTTAGTAGCTTCAGCATACTCGGCCATCTCGACCTTCAACCGCTCATCGAACCTCCTTTGCTCCTCGAGTTCCCTCTTACGCGCTTTCTCCTCCTTCCTCTCGGTGATGAGTTCCCTAAGAAACTCTTTCTCCACATCTTCCACCTGGTTCCTACGTGGAGTCCAGAAACGTGGAGTAGATGGGGCAGAAAAGGTAGATTGACCCCCAGTGTTAACAGCATTACCCCCCACCTTACTGGGACATTCACGCGCGAAGTGGCCTTTGCCCCCGCATTGAAAACACTTTAAAAGGGTTCCCATCGTAATCAGATCGAAATCCCAAAGTGAACGAAAACGAAAGATACAACGGATCGCTCGAAAAAAATATACGTCCTCTCAAAAAAATCTTCGGTCTAATCCCTCCGGATCAGAACTCGAAAAGCGCCGGTGGTATCGTCGTACCAAACAAACACCCTGACCAGCTCGGAAGTCCCCACATCCCCAATCATAATAGCTATCCTAAGAACTACCCTCATCATGCAACGAAAGTCGTCACTACCATCATACCCCCCGTATGTAACTACATCAACGGAGGAAAACCTTCGAGGAATATCAAACCTGAAGATTCGTCTCGGCAATAAAACTGGACTAAACAAAAATTCTCCCCACAAACGAAAGCAAAGGGCCACCATCGAATGTTCAATCGCACCCTTGGTTATCACGGTTATCAGAATTGAAATAACTGTTCGGCAAAACAGCATTCAGCAAGAGAATGGAGATGGAAGATACACCCAAGGTCATGTTCCATTACGCACGCTATAGGAGAAACCAGAACTTCATGAAGTCAGGACTCAAAATCTTTTAGTAAAAAAAGCACTCAAGATCGAGTGCAAGTCATCCCCACGAGGCCACACCTCA